GCTGAGGAATGGAACCCAGGGCCTCATACATGCAAGGCAAGCGCTCTACCACTGAGCTACCTTCCCAGCCCTTGTTTTTTGTTTTCAACAGAAGGGTTTTCCCTCTCCCAGGGTAGCTGAGAGCAGGAGGCTGCCTGGGCAGAAAGCTCTCCAGGCCTCCTCTCCAGCACAGGCAGGGTGCAGCCACGCTTGCTCGCTGGCTCCTGCTGTCCTCTCAGCTACACTGGCATGGATAGACAGGAGGATCACAGTCCAGGTCCACCCGCCCGCACACGTGAAAATTCAAGACCCTGTTGGGAAAACGAAGCAAAATGGGTTTTGTTTGTTTTTGCCCACCCTGGGGCTCTCAGATCTGAGTCTCCTGAGTAGCTGGGATTACAGGCGTGAGCCATTAGCACTATGAGATTCATACCTCCAATTAACCATCAAAAAGCAGGAAGTGGCGCTGTGGCTCAAGTGGTACAGCACTAGCTTTGAGCAAAAACAGCTGAGGCAACACCCATGCGGGGAAGGAGGCAGCCTTGGGAGCCCCCTGTGTGGTGCACAGCGGGGGTGGGTGGGGTGGGGTGACGTGGGTGGCTGGCTGGACCGGCGCCCACTCACATCGGTGCCTACAGGCATCGGCGCTCGGAGCAGCCTGCCCCGCCGTGCGCTCCGCTGGGTGGCGCGGACTGGCTTCCCTCCACAAAGCGCTGCTCCTCCAGACGTGGAGCGTGGACCCCGGTTTCCTCATGGCCCCGAGGCTGATGGTCAGGAGGGGCGCTGGGCCTGTGGCAGCGCAGTTTCCAGTGGCTCCTGGGCTCCTGTGGTAGGGCTTGTGGTGACCAAAACGACCCTCACCGTGTCCAGGCCGCGCACCCCAGGATGGCTGTGTCAGGTCCTCAGCAAGTGATCCTCCCTGCAGAGGCTGGGCCGTCAGACTTGTAGAATGGCCCCTCCAGATGCCCGACCTTGGCACTGGGCAGGGGCTGGGGACACGAAGGATGGAGGCCAAGACCCCCATCTCCTGGGAGCATGTCACCCATGAGGGGTGACATTTGGGGAGGGGGCAGGTTTCCGGGGAGCGGCTCTCCATTCTGGGTCATAGGCCTGGCCCTTCGTCCCGGCAGATGTTGGGAATCCGGCAGGTTCCGCCTGCACCCGTCATCAGATACTCAGAAACAGCTCCAAAGGGGGCTTGGTGGCTGCAAGCCCCCTGAAGCCAGCCAGGAAACAGCCTGTTAGGACTTGTTCCCCATCCTGTGCCCTGATGGTGGCAGGGATGCCGGTGTGACAGCCGCTTCCCCACCCCCACCCCCAGCTTCTGACCTCAGAAGTTTCCATTCCTTCCACACGAGGTCTTATACTTCCCTCATCCTAAATCCACAGCTTCCTGAATACACTGATTTTTCCAGGCCGCCAGGGAGACCTGGGGCCCATGCCACAGTCCCACACTAGGAAGGCTTGGGAGCTAGTCCACCATGGGTGGTTCCCTTGTGGCCAGGCCCTTCTCTTTTGTGGAACCCATCAGCCCAGCAAGTCTGAGAACTGAGCCCAGGCCTTCAGGTGCCCACTGCAGACATCACCAATGGATGCAGCAAGTCTGAGAACTGAGCCCAGGCACGCAGGTGCCCACTGCAGACATCACCAATGGATGCAGCAAGTCTGAGAACTGAGCCCAGGCCTGCAGGTGCCCACTGCAGACATCACCAATGGATGCAGCAAGTCTGAGAACTGAGCCCAGGCCTAAGGGTGCCCACAGCAGACAGCACTAATTGATGCAGGCTTGCCCTTCTCAACTTGCACAGGGCCACACAATCAGAAGAGCCACTCGTGCTCTGTGGTGGCCCCAGTCTAAGGCCTTGATCTTGGGATTCTCCTGCTCAGCCTCATAGTACTGGGATTAAGTCACAGGCACGGCTACCATACTAGTTCCACCTGTGCTGGCACTCCTGACTTCTAGGTGAGCACAGGTGCCCTCCTGAGCCTCAGGGGCACACCCCCTGTGGACCAGTCCCCTTTCCCCTGGGGGCACTGCCGCAGGGTTCAGCTGTGTGACCCTGGCAAACACCCCACCCCCTCTGGATGCCATCAGTAAGCAGGTGAACGCGTGTCCCCACCTGCCAACTCCCTGGACCTGCTCTGGGCTCTGCCCAGCTCAATCCGGGGTTAATTTTAGGATAACAGGCCTAAAGAAGGCAGGAGTGGGGGCGGGGGAGGCATTCACTGCTCCTCACTTAGGAAGTGGGGGTGAAAGGCTCAACAGGGGATTTGCTAGAGGAAAGAACACAAACCACCACTCAGTGAAGGACATTTATTGTGGCCCTTGTCCCTCCCCCGCTGCGTCTCTCCATCCCGAACCTGTGCTTTGGAGGAGGGGAGCACCTCACCCCTATCGGGGTACCAGGGGCCACTGTACCTTTACAGCCTGCAGTCCTGCCGAGTCTGGGGTCCGCACCCGCTAGACCCCAGACCGGAGCCTGTGAACAAGAGCGCCGCCGCCACCACGTGGCGGGGCTGGGAGGGGACGGGAGCGCAAGGGGGGCCCAGGGGGGCCCAGCGGGCCCCGGCCGGGCGCGGGTGTCAGCCTGCGGCCAATGTCCGTATCCAAACACCGGCGGCCCGGTGCCCCTGAACCCGCAGGGAGCCAGGCGCGAGGACGGGCGGGGAGGCTGGGGAGGAGGGGTCCACGTGCCCGGGTGGGCACGGAGACTGTAAACAACCCAGGGCCCAGGGCCCACCCGCGCTCCTCCTGGGTGAGGAAGGGCACTGCGGTGAGAGGTGGGGCCCAGACACCCGGGACACTGGAGGCTGTGGCGGCCCCGGCGCACGGGAAGCCTGGGGCCCCCGCACCCGGCAAGCAGCTGGTTTGGGGCCACAGTCCCGCCCTGGGCCCTCTCCGCGCAGGAGGCACCGCGGGGCGGCTGAAGGCTGCCCAGGGCAGAGGCGGGGACCTG